TCACCCAACAATCTTAAAGAATTAAAGTTTCCAAAAAGGGGGTTTCATGGTGAAGCCATAGAAAAAATCATTTTGGGTTCCCCATAGAACCTTTCAGTGAACAGTTCTTAAAAGAATCCTTTACTCTCACTCAAAAAAATAAAGGTTCTTCATTGTGATTGATGGTTCCATGAAGAACCTTTGACATCCATAGAACATTTTAAGGTTGTTTATAGTGGAAAAAGTGTAAGTTTTTAGGTTTTTAAAATCTTCTACACACTAACAAAAAAAAAAGATCTTTTAAGAACTTTTCACTGAAAAGAAGGTTCTAGATGGTTCTTCTATGGCATCACTACAACCCCAACCCACCCCCTCAATGGAAAGGTTCTACACTCTTCAAAAAAAAGTTCCATTATTATTACATTCAGAGTGATGCTTTTGAAGAATTGTTTGGGGTTCTGGGAAGAACCTTTCAGTGAACAGTTCTTAAAAGAAAGTTTGATGTTTGTTTGTTTATTTATTTTTTGTGAAGAACCTTTTGTGCAATGTTAAATTTTTTCAGGGAAACATATGTTGCAATAAATAAAACCTTTATTTTTGGGGGTGAAGAAGTAAAATACAACTTCAAAATACAAAAGGTTATACTTTGAAATGAAAAGACATTTCTGAAACTGAAAAAAAAAAAAAAAAAAACCCAGACACATTTCCAAAATATCTCTTTTTGTTTTCCACGGGAAAAAACATAATTGTGTTTTTGGATGAACTTTTTTTTTTTTTTAATATCTGGAGTTACAAACAATAATTTCCTACATTTGTTTTCACAGCTACAGACTATTTTTCTAGAATGAGATTATGACTATATGTGTAAAACAAATGAGGTTGGATGATTCTGAGCTATTCCACCATTTTTATCAATGATATTTTAAAGAAATTAATGTAACCTGATAGCTCCCTGGTTTAAGTCACAAACACTCACCACCTGCTGAGGCTGGGGAGAGGGGCGGCTGGAACCCCGGTGCAAATCAATCAGCAGGCTAGTTCAGACGAGGACACTGGCAAACGCTCCTCAGGAGCTTGCGTGTCGAGAGGCCTGGCGTGAACTGTGGAACCAAAGCTCCCTGCCAGCCCTCTCCATAACTAAAGCTGATTTAGACAGGGCCTAGAACGGAATTAGGTTTCATCCTCTGTCATGCATTTTCATAGTGATGTTTTGAGTTCTGTGGCCCTCTTTGATTCGGCCAAAAAAAGCCTGGGCTTTTTTGTCTGAATCTATGTAACACAAGATGAAGAGCACAGCAGGATGAAATGCAGTCCTCTCCATTTCAGTCTTTCCCTCCAAACACTAAGAAAAACAAATCTAATGTTCGCTAAACTGACCTTGGTGTCATTTAGTACAGTAAACGTTCTCCTTCACGTTTCCAATTTGTTATTCCTTAGCGAGCCACTCAAGATTATAAATGGACAGTCGAGAGAGGCATGGAGATATATATATGCAATGTGGGAATGCTTTTTTCACTGTTACATCATGATTTACATACTGAATAAATAGTATCCTGCTTCCAAGTATGAAACTGCGTCCCAACGAGCCTTTCAAAGATTTTACGGTGAGTGCAAAATATTATGAAATGTGTTAAATAAAAGAAATGCAATAAAAAGGAAGGCTTTATACTCCCTACAGCCTAATAAAAATCTGATGCCAACATGCAATGTTCTGACAGAACAGGGAGCTTAAATACACATCCCTAATGTAGTTTCATTTGAAAGGGGAGCATTGATAATTGAGTCAATGACAAATAAGAGAGTCCAAGATAAACAAAGTAAATGTTTAAAATTATAGTTTAAAAAACATGACAAGCTTAAGCAATGTAATTTATGTTTATGTTGGTTCCATATGTTTAAGAATAGCTTCAAAACACAATTTTCAGGACAATTTCGGAGTCATTAAATTGTGAAAATTGTCGTAAAAATTGTGTTTATTGTGTAACCATCAAGTAAAAAGTAATAAGTTGTTTCATCTTAATTATTTTCAAGGTAAAAATATAGAAATATTTGTATTTGTTTGTACAAATAAATAAAATAAATAATAAAAAAATTGGAGTGGTTGTACCATATGACATATTATATCCTAATTTAGCTTTTCCATGTCATAAAAAGGCCAAATTGTCTGATATTTTAAGGGACTTACTGTCCATAACACGTCGTTATGATGGGTCCTGTAAAGTGTCCTCTGTAGGTGTTGATATGTTGTTTGGGCCAAATGACATTGATTTGAATTATTTTTATTTAGGGATGGTAAGATTTACCGATTCACATTGGTGCATCGGCATAAAAGTTAACGATGCAATGCATCGATTTAAAAAAGAGTGCATCAGATACAAGTTGCCATTTGTATCACAATGCATTGTTTCTAACATATTTGCATCTGTAAAAAACTATTTATTTATATACAATTATTAGTAGATGTGTAGACACTTTTATTATTTAGAAAGTGACCAATAATTTGTGACCAGTATTTTATATTTAAATTGATTTCTCCTCTCTAAACTGTTTCTCAAGCGCATTCTTTCATCAACACAAATAACTATTTTAAGGTTGTGCTTGACATTTTATGTCAATGACCCAACTATTAAATAATGTTATGCTGTTCAAATGTACATTAACCGCACCAGGGAGGAAAATTATCTGTCAGGAGATACTTTAAGAGTGGCAAAGTGTTTAACCAGCCAGGTTCAACAGGTAAACTAAGGCCTGCCCTCCACATGTAAAGGAATCTCAGAACACCAATAAATGACCATTATCTGAAATTTCATATGTTTGACTTAACAGTCAAAACGTCCTTCACAGTTCCACAAAAATGGCTTATCATAGTAAACCCGTCTACTCTCACTCTCAGAAGCCAATCCACAGTAAATGCAGAAAAATGGACCCATGCCAGAATCAGTCAATATGATTTTGTCTTTCTGACCTAGACTTGGCTTGGCCGATGAGCTGGATTTCCAAAACTGAAATTCTCATGGTAGGAATATGTGATTTTGATGGATGTACATGGTCTGTTTCCCTTGAGGGAATGAAAAAGAAAGGACAAAAATGCTCTCTTTTTGGACTGACTATGAAGAGTCAATCTGCAGTTCATCTTGGTGTCACATCACTTCCCATCACTTCCCATCTAACTAAAGCTCCTCATGACCGAGTTAGCAGACAACACCTGTGGTCTCCATTCAAAACATCAGCAAGCCAGAGTGATAGTTTGCAAAATGTCTGTCGGATACATTTTTCTTCAATAATACAGGTCGAACAGTACAGTCAGCATCAGCTACCAAAACAGATCCACGAAATCCAAGATGGTCCATGATTACAAACTTTTAAAACCTGACAAATATAGAAAAACAAACAAACAGCTGCTTCCAAATGCCTGAGGCAATGTCTGGGATTCAAAATTGAATTTAAATCTGGAAATAAATAAAAGGTTTTTGCATCTTGAAAAATTCCAAAACAAAGAAATGTTATGAACCACAATAACAGCGGTCAGTTTGTACAGTTGGTCAAAGGTTTTTGCTTCCAAACTTAAGATCCTATTCTCCCAGATCATCTCAAATCATACAGGAGAACAAAACCATCAGGATTTTTCCAAGGACTTTGAAAAAAAGGGACAAACCAATACTAAGACATAAAATTCATGCAGACCTTCAAATCACCTGCCAGCCAAAGATGAAATTATAGCCTGAGCCAAAGCATTTATCATCTTTAACGTTCAAAGTCTTTGTTCCAAAACCTAGCATTTCCTTGAATCAAAGTAAAGTAAAGAGGTAGGCAGGGGTTAAATGAAAAAGCAGCTCTTGTTCAAGCTCCCCCCATTATCAGCCCTTCACCCACCTCAGTTGCACTTGAATCTTTTTGCCACGCGCTCGCGGTTCTTCCCTGCCAACTTTTTAGTGTGTTCCTCCTCCTCTCTTTCTCCTCGCCTCAAACCTGTCAAATCCTATAAGCGAAAACATATTGAATGCACACTATTTTCTTTCTTTCTTTTTTCCCCGTTTTTCACGGGACTGATGGATTTTCAATCTACGAAACATTTGTCTGCATGACATCACCCATGGGTTTTAACTGCATTATTTCACCAAATACTGTACTAAGGAGAGAAACACTTTAATTACCTTCATAATTCACTTTGGAAAATGTTCCTCAGACATCCCCTTTCTCTTTAGTTTAGCTAGTTATTACTACAGGAGCAAAAAAAACATCCTTGCTTGTCACAATGGCATGCATTTAATGAACTGTCTCATAACAGATTGTGATTACAAAACACTGTGGTGGATGAGATTCCTGGATGCTGACCTTGATAAAACTGCTGTGCATGGTCATCAAATTCTGCATGTCACATTTCCTTCTCAAGTGGTTAAGCAGATCAAACTCTACTAACATGCATTAACTTTACACTAATTGAGCTTTTATTTGAGCAGTTGGATTACCACACATAGAGTACATTACTGTTTAAAAGTTTGGGGTTAGTAAGATTTTTTTATTTAATTTTTTCGTTTGGCAAGGCGGCAATAAATTGCAAAAATTTTACTCTTACAAAAGATTTCTACTTAAAATAATGCTGTTCTTTTGAATTTTCTATTAATCAGAAAATCTTAAAAAATGGTTTCCACAAAAAAAAAAATGTTTCCAATTGTTTCCAACGGTGATAATAAGAAATGTTTCTTGAGCACCAAATCAGCATATTAGAAAGATTTCTCAAGGATCATGCGACACTGAAGACAAAGGCTGCTGAAAATTCAGCTATGAATGAGTTGTTGTACCTTCAAACACCACAGAAATACATTTGGTACAAGCAAATTATTCTCACAAAAAGGGATTCGTTTAATTTTAAAGGAAGCAAGTGGGAGATTTTAAGGCGCGTTACACTGTGCCAAAGGTCTCTCGGCTACAGAAATCAACAGTTCTGGTGAATAATTACTGGTGGATGTGGGGATGACATAACACACAGAAGACTCAAGGTAAGCACGTCTTACCTCGGCGTGTGTGGAGGGTTATTAAAAGGAAGAGATGTGATAGGCCTGAAAGACCCAGATAGAGCCAAGCGACGCCCCCTGATGACAGACAGCCACACGTTCTTTAGAGTACCGTTGTCCCAGGACATCTTGAGCAGCATGGGCAGATGAGGCCACTTGAAGAGACGTAAAGTGAAAACATAAACACAAAAGTTAATAAGCCTGGATAAGGGCTGCTAATCTTACATTTAAAAGGTAACGAGTGACTAATGGAGCTGATTAAAGGGATAGTTCACCCAAAAATGAAAATTTTATATGTTTATCTGCTTACCCCCAGGGCATCCAAGATGATACGACTGATAGACTGCAACGGTTTGTGTTAAAAATCATCATATGTGTTCTACTGAAGAAACAAAGTCACCTACATCTTGGATGCCCTGGGGGTAAGCAGATAAACATCAAATTTTCATTTTTGGGTGAACTATCCCTTTAAGGTGTGTTAGATGACCGCAAATGTGATCTAAATAAAAAAAACAGGGGAAATTAGCATTTTTGAGCACAAATGAGCACAATTAAACATACGATATCCAGTGGTGTTAATGTTATCTTAAACTAAAACAATTCAAATGGGGGGCATAGAGGAGAAACAATAATGTACAGTATGTGGAAAATAATGTTTTTTTTTTACTTTAAACCGCATAAACACATTTCATTACACCAAATACACAAAATAATGTTCTTTTTAGCAGCATCATATGACCCCTTTAATTAAAATAAAGTTGAAATAAAATATTATACAATACACTTACATTTAAAAAACTTAAATGAAAATGTTACTTGAAATGTTACTGGCAACCAACTGAAATAAAACAAGTTGAAATTAAAGTACAAAAATTACTAAAACTAAATCGGAAATAAAAAATATATTAAAGGTAAAAAAAAAATACAAATAAAATATACATATTACATAAAATATAGTAAATATAAAAATACCAATTATAAAAAAATTTAATAAAAGCTAATTAAAAATAATAAAACACTATAATAATATGTAAATGATGCTTAAATAATATTGACAATATTGTCCAATAACAAGAAACAAAACAAAAACTCTAATTTCAGCAAATAACAGATAAGGTATTGATATACTTCTAGAAGTCTTGTTAAAACACTCTCATTATATGAAGACTCCAGTTAAATCAGTGTCTGAAAAAAAGATCCATTTTATTTCAAATGAAGCTGGCCACCACATCAAGGCCACAGATTTGTGTAACCAGCAGAAGAAAAAAAAACTGAGTGCAACATTTATATTCATGTGTCTGTGCACACAAAACAGAGCATTGAAAATGCATTGTTGGTGTCACTCTCAATAGAGGTGGATGCATCTAGTCATTTATGAGCGTGCTTTCAGCTACAGACCACATTTACTCAGAGGGACTTATTGGACCTCTTCATCTATACCCAGGTGGGCTGGGTAAGGAGAGACATTTCATCACTTTAAAAGAGGAGAGGGGGGCAAATTTTATCAGCAGATCTGAGATCCAATGACAAGCAGTGAAGCGAGGCGACTTGGGTCCTGGTAAAGCACTCCACACAGACCTGATACTCCCTGTGGCTTCGCTCTCCATGTGTGGTCCCTCTCTGTTTCTCTCAGGGCCTGTGTGCCTCCATGCACATGGACAATATGACAACACTGACGGCACAAGATGAGCCAAGACAAGAAAAACAATCAAGCCAGGGCTGTGAACTCGACTGTGAGAGCTTGATTTTCACTGCGCTCCACTCCCTATCTGAAAGCGGCCCACAAACAAGCATATACACAGGATCTTCTCTTTTTTTCCACACTCGGCTTGGTAACGTAGCTTAATGGAGTGATGGTAAAGATCCAGATAAAACATGCCCCCCCTTCTTTTACGTCCTCCATATGCTTTGATTTCACTGCTCTGAAAGGAGGGAAAATGATTCATGCTGTTGGCGTGTGCAAAAATTTAAGGGGGTCTGAATACTTTCCGTACCCACTGTATATCCTTCGACATTTTTCTTTACAAATCCTTGTTTTGTACTTCTAATTCGTGACAGGTGTTTTATTTTGTTCTCTCATCTGCACTTCCACGTTTGTCACTTCTCACCGGAGCTTACGCTACACCTACGTCAGGGTTCCCCTAATCTTGCCCTGGAGGGCCAATGCACTGCAGAGCTTAGCTCCAACCCTGATCAAACTCACCTACCTGTGATTTTGCAGAAACGTGGATCTCGTGGGCCAGATTTGAGGATCCCTGTCCTACGTCATCTGATGGAACGCCACTCTCTCGTGAACGCGTGTACGACAGTTAGTGGAAGCTAGGTTTATAAAGTTTTAAATATGGATATTTTTCTTACACAAACGCATTGATTCGCTTCAGAAGGCCTTTATTAACCCCCAGTGTGGAGCAGTGGCGGCTCGTCGGGGGACGCAGGGGAGGCATAGCTTCCCCATAATTTTGAGGTGAAAATGGAAGGAAGACGATTTAATGTTAATAAAATTCACAATTCATTTCAGTTCATGTCTCAGAATGTGTATTTTTTGTTTGTAAGTTCACAGTTGTAATACCATAACGTGCAAGCGCCGCTTTTCTATCGCGAATGTGCCGAATCTGCTGATGTAATTACAACCGCTAATGATAGCGAAGGGGAGAGGGAGGCCGGGGGAGAACGGAGCTCTCGTGCCTCCGTTGGTAAAAAAAATTAGCCAATCACCATCGAGTGTTCACTTTCAGCACCTCCAGAGGATTCGACCTCCGGAGGGCGCAGCCTTCTAAATGAGACACAGCTAATGTGCCAAGTATGATGAGTAGCGATATTGAATATTTGATCGCCAACAGATTTACCAAGCTGTCATTCAAACAGTATATATTCAAATTTAGGGAAAACAGCCTAAGCTGGATATAGGCTACAGCAGTCGGCTTAATTAAATGGCGCAAGAGGCAGCTCTCTTTTAACACAGACTTTTAAAAAGGGATGGATGTTAAGCAAATTATAATAATAATAATCGGCAGGGATCCCAGACCAATACAATTAGTGTGCCTCCTCTATTTTAACACCCACGAGCCGCCACTGGTGTGGAGCACTTTTATGATGGATTGATGAACTTTAGTTTGCTTCAAAATCTCGACCCCCATTCACTGCCATTATAAAGCTTGGAAGAGCCAGGACATTTTCAATATAACTCAGATTGTATTCGTCTGAAAGAAGAAAGTCACATACACCTAGAATATGTTGAGGGTGAGTAAATCATGGGGTAATTTTCATTTTTGGGTGAACTATCCCTTTACGTGTGCAAGTACGGTACATCTTTTTTTTAGCTTTCTTGAGACCTCAACACCCTATTTTCCTGTTAATTGACATAAAAATATTTGAGCATATTTATAAAAAGGATATACAGTCTTGTGACGCAACTAAAGTCAAAAATGTATTCTTATCACATTAAAACTTTTAAGTTTATAAGTATAATATATTATAAACAATATGCTGCGCAATGTATGACTGACAGTAAACTGACGCCTCTTTCTATTTGATGTACTGACACAAAGGACAAATTGTTTGCAACAGGTGCTTTGGCACGTTCATTGTTGACAGCGCCTACATGTCACAACAAGCAACAACAGTGATGTCTGGTGTAGACATGGTGTTTGAGCCCTACATTCCTGCAAAATTTTTTACAAATATATATATATATTCATTTATAAATTATTGTATGTAACTTATATAATATATCTAATTGCAACCCATATTTATTGGAAATTAATTGCACTAAAAATTACTTATTACACTTACTATTTAAATAATATTAATATTATTTCATTGCAAAGTGCACATAATAATAATTCTTTATATTACTTATTTAAATAAATTCCCCCCCAAAAAACTAACATGAATGAGAAACAATATTCCTATATTTAAGAACATTATTCTTATTTCTATAATCTATTTCAGAGTGTGAGTTGCAGTTGTATGTAATTTTAACTCATATTTACTGAAAGCTAATTAGACTAAATATGGCTTTACAATTATTACAATTACTAATTAAATCATATTTAATAGTATTTTTAATTGTAAAGTGCACATATAATAATAAGTTAGATTATTATATAAATTATTTATTGCAAAATCTCCCTCTCCAAAAAAAGTTGTATAAATGAGACTTTTTTTCTCTATTGTTACTATAATGTATTTCAGAGTGTGAGCTATATTTAGTGAAAATAGGCATTATTTGATTGCACTGTGATGTTACAGTGTGTCTCTGAGGGTTAAAAATTGATTGAGATATTACAGAACTTTTAAATGTTCTTAAATCAGTGGCATTTGCATGCCAAACTATGACACAGGAAAACAGACACACAAGGACATTCACACACACACACAGACACACACACACACACACACACACGTCTGGTTTGCTATCCTTGTGGGGACTCTCCGTAGGCGTAATGGTTTTTCTACTGTACAGACCATATATTCTATTGCCCTACACCAACCCT